ACACACACACACACACACACACACACACACACATATATATATATATATATAATTTATTCTACTGCTTTATTAACATTCCTGTATATAATTTTGACTTTTTAGCTGTTAATTTACAACCTATTAATCTTATGCTTAAGTGTTTTTTAGGATGTTCGCATATGAGAAGGTGTTTGTTCAGGGGTAGTTTACTAAGTTTTGCTACCTTCATGATTATGTGTTACTTTTTATAGGACTTCTGCATCATATTGACTCTCCCTTTTCTTTTTCAGGATGGATTTAAACTTAAAGTGAAAGAATATATTCAACAACATGCCAAGAGATGAAAAGATCAGTTGAAGATTTAAGTGTTTTTCAAATTTCTTTGTGTGCACTTCATATTTGAACTTGGCTGGCTTGAAAATAATGTACGTGTATTCTCACTTCTGAAAAGGCAGTGAAATGGTTCTAATGCTGGTATATCTTAAATCCAAAAATCAAGAAAGGAAGATATGGTTGTTGTCAGCCATCCGTAAGTGAACTGTATTCAAACTGACTGTCAGTTGTCTCAATGTGAACACAGTTCAGGTATCTCAACTGTTCTGACATTCATGTACAGTGCAAAGGAAAATAAGATCTAAAATATCTTTATGTCGTTTTGATTCATTGTGTTAGAAGCTAGTTTTTGTTATCTAATGTTCATACAACATTGAAACATTTTCCTTATCATCTACTTTCACTGACAAAATTTTAACATCCAATCAGGATTTCATACACCACAGTGACACCTTCCTTAAACACACCATGACAACATTATTTTCAGAAAAACAATAATATTTTAGCTAGTGCACCACAATAACTTCCTCCTCCAGACATTGTGTAATACTTCAGCTAGTGCACCACAGGAACCTCCTTCTCTAAATATTGTGTAATACTTCAGCTAGTGCACCACAGGAACCTCCTTCTCCTCCAGACATTGTGTAATAGTTCAGCTAGTGCACCACAGGAACCTCTTCCTCTGAATATTGTGTAATAGTTCAGCTAGTGCACCACAGGAACCTCTTCCTCTAAATATTGTGTGATACTTCAGCTAGTTTTCCACAATAACCTTCTCCCCCTCCAGACATTGTGTGATACTTCAGCTGGTGCACCACAATAACCTCCTTCGTCAGATATTGTGTAATACTTCAGCTAGTGCACCACAGGAACCTCCTTTTCTAAATATTGTGTGATACTTCAGCTAGTGCACCACAGGAACCTCCTTCTCTAAATATTGTGATACTTCAGCTAGTGCACCACAGGAATCTCCTCCTCCAGGCATTGTTTGATACTTCAGCTAGTGCACCACAGGAACCTCCTTCTCTAAATATTGTGTGATACTTCAGCTAGTGCACCACAGGAATCTCCTTTTCCAGACATTGTTTGATACTTCAGCTAGTGCACCACAGGAACCTCCTTCTCTAGATATTGTGTAATACTTCAACTAGTGCATCACAATAACTTTTTTCTCCAGACATTGTGTAATACTTCAGCTAGTGCACCACAATAACCTCCTCCTCCAGGCATTGTTTGATACTTCAGCTAGTGCACCACAGGAACCTCCTTCTCTAAATATTGTGTGATACTTCAGCTAGTGCACCACAGGAATCTCCTTTTCCAGACATTGTTTGATACTTCAGCTAGTGCACCACAGGAACCTCCTTCTCTAGATATTATGTAATACTTCAACTAGTGCATCACAATAACTTTTTTCTCCAGACATTGTGTAATACTTCAGCTAGTGCACCACAATAACCTCCTCCTCCAGACATTGGGTAATACTAAAGCTAGTGCACCACAGGAACCTCTTCCTCTAGATATTGTGTGATACTTCAGCTAGTGCACCACAATAACCTCCTCCTCCTCCAGACATTATGTGATACTTCAGCTAGTGCACCACAATAACCTCCTACTCCTCCAGACATTGTGTGATACTTCAGCTGGTGCACCACAATAACCTCCTCCGCCTTCAGATATTGTGTAATACTTCAGCTAGTGCACCACAGGAACCTCCTTTTCTAAATATTGTGATACTTCAGCTAGTGCACCACAGGAATCTCCTCCTCCAGACATTGTTTGATACTTCAGCTAGTGCACCACAGGAACCTCTTCCCCCAAGCAATGTTTAATACTTCAGCTAGTGCACTGCAGGAACCTCCACATCTAGACATTGTGTAATACTTCAGCTTTTGCACTACAGAGTCAGGTTTTTATGTATGTGTGGGCCAGATTCCTTAGAGTAGGTGTCTGTGACTTGTTGGCAATAAATTTTAACAATAAACAAACAGCACATATTCCACTTCTTTTAAAGTAATGTATTAAAACAAGTCAAACATATGTATAAAAATTTTTTATTACACTGTTGGTTATCACAGTTGTATCCAGAACTGTAAATAATTGTCTCTTTTTCATCAAAATCCATACAGGCTGGTTCAGTTACTTTAGAACACAATTTGACAAGATGAATTATTCTTCTCTGCTCTGTTATTACTATACAGTCAGTGATGATTTCACTTTAAAATTGCCACTATATGCCCTTTTTTGGCTAAACTAACAATCAAACAGTCTAAATCTCTCTATCTAACTAACTGTATATTGTCTCAAACTACATTTTGTATGAATATTTATAGACTGACAGAGGCCTAGAATGTTCCACATACTACGCGATCTTGTGATGCAATAATAGTAAATTGAAATGAGAAACTTAGAAGTTTTTAATAACATGATGCAATAATACAGTAAGCACCAATTCACAACAATTGAACTACACAATGTATTATTCATACACAGTCACATAAACTATGATAAACTATCGCTTCTAAAAATAATAACATTCACTCTGTACTTAAACTATCTAAATCATAACTTTCTCATTAACTTAAACAGTCATGTATATCTAACATACAAAAATGTCTTCTTTTTGTTTTCCAGATATTCCTTAATACTTTAGCTGATGCACCACAGGAATCTTCTTCTCCAGGTATAGTTCAATACTTCTGCTAGTGTGCAACAGGAAACTTCCTCCTCCAAAAATGATTTAAGCCTATGATCACTGAAGTGTCAAAGTGCACATGTCATGATTTTTTACATAGTTACATTCAAAACTTAATTGAACAAATTTATTAACAATTTATGGCAATAAACTTGGTCTTAAAAGATAGTTTATAATGTAAATATTAATATCATCTTAGTTTCAAAAGGAAATATTGAAAAGGTTCTTAATCTTCATTTCTGTGTCGCATGACATGACAGTGCTCCAAATTGCCTACTTTAGATTTTATTTCAACCCTGATATGATTTTGTGAATATTTAACTTACTAGAAATACTTACTGTTTATATTGACATGCCAGAATTTAAACTTAGAACTCCAATCTACCTGCTTTACTGAAATATAAAAAAAAATGTCAAGCCCACATAATATGCTTCTCCCATAACATTTGGTCTTTCAAAAAAGTCATTAATTCTCTCTGACATTACTACTGAATTATTTATAACCAATAGAAAGTGCAGTGTTTTCTTTATAAGATTCCTTATACTGTTATTTCATTGTGCACTTTTAAGCAGATATTTAGTCTCAATTTTGTTGTCCTTCTCTGAGCAACTAATGTAAATTTTTAAACTTATTTATAGCTTAGTGAGAAAACTAGTTAAATTACAATAGTTTTGGAAAATTCTGTTCTAGCGCCTCATATATTTTTTGCTACAAAATGCATATTTGAGAAGAACATTGATGATTTTGTGGAGAACCAACTTAGTATGAAAAAAACTAGTGTTAAGATAGTGAAGTACACTCTTGAATTCAAATTACTGAAATATGCTTTGTTACATATTACAGTTTCGAATGGTCTGAAGCCGAGTTAAATATATGCCAACCAGATTGATACACACAGTTTTATATTTTAATACAAG